AAGGATGGAGAGGAGACAGGAGCACAGAGCATTTTTAAGATTTTATATATAGAGAGAAGCAGGGTTTCATCAGTGGCATACAAAAGAGACTGAGCCTGCGGCTGTCAACACAAATGAGAATAAGGCCTCCACATTCTTGCATTTATTTATTTTTAAAATGTAACACATCGCTTTCCCATTGACAGGTACCCAGAGAAAAAAAGTGTATTGGATGGTACCAAAACAGTGCCAGTGGCAGAAATTCAAATCCAAAAAGCTGTAGGGATGTGTGTGTGTGTGTGTGTGTACACACACTTGTGAAACAACAAAAAGTGTGTAAAATGTTGTGCCAGGAACCCAGTTATTCTGGGACTCTCACTCTTTCAACTTGGCTTTTTTTAAAAAAATGCTATGAGGTTTTATTTTTGTTTGAAAATTATTCTATTCTGTTTGGCCCTACAAATCCAAAAGATATGTGGCCTGATTGGGGTGAAAAGGCTCTCTGTGTGTGCTCAGAAGCACTGGCTTGTTCTTCGTACTCAGACGGCCTCTCTGCCATGGAAGACAGACTGCAGTGCCAAGTCCAAAAATTCAGCTACAATCTCTCCAGAGTTTAGAAAATGTGTTTCTCTGAGTCCAAAGGAGTCACAGAAGTTCTCTCTTTCCCACCTCCTTAATTCTCCTATACAGTTGGACCCCCATATCTGCTGGGGATTGGTTCCAAGCCACCGTGGATACTGAAAACCATGGATAATAATGAGCAGTAGAGAGAGAGAGAGAACGTGCGCATGGTAAAGGGCAAAAACACAGAAACAAATTCTTTTTGCATGCATTACCTGAACTAGGTTCAAGAGGGCGCCAGAGACCGTGCTATGTATTCTTCACTTTCAAGGATTCTCTGGCTCCCTCTATTGGCTGGTTTTGGCAAAACACCTGAAAATGTTTTTTTTTCTGGCTCCCTCTACTGGCTGGTTCTGGCAAAACACCTGAAAATGTTTTTTTTTTCCCCTGGATTTTAAAAATATTTTTAATACTTTCAGACTGCGGATAAGTGAATCAGTGGGTACTGCTCCTGTGGGATAAGGGAGTCCTACTGTACTCCATTTCCTCGTTGCATGAAGTACTGATGAGTGGATGGAGGGAAAGGAATTTAATGGTGGTGGATGGATTACCTCGTTGCATGAAGTACTGATGAGTGGATGAAGGGAAAGGAATTTAATGGTGATGGATGGATTAGTAACCCAATGGGGTTGGTAGACGCAATTCCCTTATGGAATTTTTATTGGGGGGGGGAAGTAACTTTGAAAGTGTATTAACACTGCTACCCCTGCCTGGGGAGGGGGTGGGTGGGTGCCTCTCCTCGACCATCGGCTCTATGACCTCCAGACACTCCGTGTGGCTGGTGCTTGCCTTTATGAAGGCAAGGAAATGAGGTCCCCAGTCAGGTTGGACACCTTAAGCCCCTGTCCGGGGAGTCCACTTCACTAGCTCCCCGTTGCCCACAACTCCTCCTTCGGCCCAGTTTCTGTCACAGGCCCGTCAAGAGTTTGCTGGGCTGCCCCACGACCGCAACCAGCCGCTCCTTGGGGAGAGGGGGCTGATGGAGGTCCCCTGGCCCTCTCCGAGACCAACTGGAGCCAGCGCTGGTGGTGCCTCGTCCTCCCTCCGGTGCCTCTTATGGGTTGGCCTGGGCCTCCTGGCTTATGGCTCGCCATTGAGGGGGGGCCCTCTCAGTGCCCCCCTTCCTAGTCCTCTGAGGGCAAAGCTAACTCACTGCCTGGTCTGTGGGTCCCAGAGGAGCAGGGGCTGGGGTGTCCCCCCGGGTGCAGAAGACTGGGAGGGGGGGCTCAGAGCAGTTCTTTGATCCCGTTTCCAAAGAGGGTGACAGCCACCCCCACCCCCACTTCCTCTCTCTTTGAACCCGATGCCTGCCCTTCTGCCCTCCAGTGGCCTTGCCCTCTGGGGGGGCACTGGGACCCTCCTCGGAGACCCCCAGCTGCAGACCCACGGGAACCTTCACCCTCAGACTGCCCTGTGCCAATGAGGAGGTGTGAATATGCCCCCCACCCACCCTGGTACTAGGCTGGAGAGAAATTCTGTTGCTCTCTGGGTATGGAAGAGGGCAAGCATGTGGGTCTCCAAGGGTATTCACCGTCCATACCCATAAACCTCTAGGGAATCTCTCCTGTGTCTTCCAGGAAGTGTGGGGGCTTTTGCTGACAGGTGCAAAGGGAGCTCTCCTTCCCGACCAGCATGCATGCCAGATGGGCCTTAGGAAAGTTACAGCCCCCCCTTCGGCAGGCATCAGCTGAGGGAGGGCGGCCCATAGCCAGCCGCCCTGCCTGCTTGCCTTAAACCAATTAGCTGTGTGGCTCTAGGGAAGCCTTTCCTTACCTGACGCCAATTTAATCTGATTTAATCACATCATTTTTACCCTTCCCTTTAGCCTCGCAAGATTAATAATAAAGCAAACCCTGTCCCCAGGTTTGGGGTTGAAAAAGAGGAACACACAAGGAAAAAAGGAGGAGGAGGAGGGATAAGGAGAAAGCCAGCCAGCCAAGGCCGGCTTCCCCTCCAGGGAGTCCAGCGGAGTGAGGGAACTGCTGTCCGACAAGAGCTGAGGAAGGGGCGAAAGCTACTGGTCTCCCAGTACAGCTGGTGGGACTAGTTTGGCTGCTGGAGAACTTCCAGAGAAATATAGACAACCACTTGGCAGATAATCCTTTGATTTGGATTCCTGCCTCGAGCGGGGGGTTGGGGGTTGGACTAGATGGCCTCAGAGGCCCCTTCCATCTTCACGGTTCTATGAAAATTAGCAGCACTGGGCTGGATAGAGGTAAAGCCAGATTTCTGCGTTTCTGCGAGTGTGCCTCTTGAGAAACACTGGAAAAAGCCATCTCTTGTGCCGGGGTCATCAGCATTGAACACCGAACCCCCCACTCCCAAATCACAGGGGCATGCATTCTGCCACTGCTGCACCCTGATGTTTTGGCAACACAGAGAAACAGACACATCCTTGGTTTGGGGTTTCTTAAAATCTTTTAAATGGCCTTTGTGGCATGAATTTGTAATCGTGCAGCAACAGCGTCACGGAGGTAGTTTTGGATACGGGGACGATAGCGGTGTGAAACGTGGCATGCTTGCCTTTTTTTATTACCCTGGTCAGGATAGGAGAAGAACTGGGCAGTTGGGGAGAGGATTCTGCCCTGCTGTGCGGGATCTGGGGGTTGCCCACCAGAAATGGCGCACGCACGCACGCGCGCGCACACACACACACACACACGGTTGCCATCCACGCAGGCTGGTTTCTGCCTCCTTGAGATCCCATAGCTGGCAGTACCTCTTTCACGCCACGTGGTGGCAGCACCAGTCCCGGAGCGGGATTTCCACGGACTGCATTCCCCTTGCAGTGGCATGACTTGGCCAGGAGGCGGCAGTCTGTATCCTTAAAACCCTCTGGGTTTATATTTTGTAATTTAATAAAAAAAATATTAAAAGCCCTCTGGGCAGGGCGATCCGTCTTCGACCCTCAAAGCACAGGGCTGGGTTGGATGGCCCCGTTCGTTGTCATTTTCGAAGGGGGCTCTCGGGAGGGCTGCCCATTAATAAGAAGAACATTCAGACAGATGGGCGGAAAGGGACCAGCGATGAAAGAGGCTTGGATTGGGAAGGACAAGGGTGACGAATGTACCTTTGGCAGGGCTTTGCGTGCAGCGGACAAAATGTGCGGTTGCTACGACCAGGCTGGAGGATTCCAGCACCCTTTTGCTTCTCCCGTATTAGGCCCCAAGGCTAAGCGTGATGATGGTCGGATGTGACCTGGCATTAATGGCGAGCTTGGTTTCTCTCTTACATCTGTAATCGGGCCCCTCTTGGTCTTTTAAGGCCCCCTCCACCATCCATCTAGAATAACCCAAGCCTACCTTGACGCCTTACATGGCCTTTATTGAGGATGCCCCATTTCATCATCCACCTGGGGTCTAGCTGGGAAGGCAGGATGGGGTCGCTGAGGGGGGGGAGAGTCTACCAGCTGCACCAGGGATCGAGCCCCAGGGCCATCTTCCCGCAAAGTAAGTGCTCAGTGACTGAATGGCAGCCCTTAACTTAAAACAGACCTTAAGACTCCAGTCCTCATGGTGCTGAAAGAAGAGATGACCAGAAAGGAGCAGAAGCGTTTCTATTGGAATGAGAGAGACAATCAGTCCGTATAAATCGGCATTTTTTCCTGCGATGGACCAGTGCAGGAGGTCTTCCATCGTGCCCAGTCCAGAGATTGTAGAGATGGGTGTTGAACGTCCTGGGTGCGAGAGTGTGCTCATGTTGGACTGGGCTCCGTCGTCATATTAGACGCATTACTCTCTGTGGTTGTCTTTTTGCCTCGTGCGCTCAAGGGATTGCCTTTTGTCCAATGACGCTGACCGGAGGGAGGGGGGCAGCTGAGGACAGAGGGAGGTGGGATTTAGACATCCAGAAAGTTGTCCTGGGCTACGACAGCTCAAAAAGTAAGATTTCTTAAGAACTGGTATTCCAAGCGAGGTTCCCGTGTGGCCAGGTTGCCTCCTGACCCATGCCAAAGGGTCGACGTTGGGGTCAGGGGGGTGCCCGGCCCGGTTCAGCCAAAGGAGCCGGTCTCCTTCCCTTTGGAGCGACAATTCCCACCGTCTTCTTGGGCCGCCGACCGGGCTGGCTGGGGCTTCTAGACGTCTTGACGGGTGAAGGATCCAGAGGGGCTGAAGGTTTTCCCGACTCTGGACCCTCACCGAGGCTGACGATGGCTCGTAGCTGGAAAAGAGGATGAAGTGCGAGCGGAGAGCGGGGAGGTGGTCCCGGCAGGGATCTGTGCGTGTGTGTCTGTCTGTCTGTGCGTGCCTGGAGGGCTGAAAGATCTGGTGGAGCTGCTGGGGGGGAAGGTGTGCTTGAGTTAAGGTGGGGAGAGAGGGAGAGGGGGGGAATACAGTGGCCCCCTCTTGGCCCGGCGGCCCTCTTCCCTGACCCGGCCATCCTGCCTGTCCTCCTTGCAGGTAAAGGCCCCGAGACCCTCTTTGCTGGCCACAAACTCAATGACAACGAGTGGCACACGGTCCGTGTGGTGCGGCGTGGAAAGAACCTCCAGCTCTCGGTGGACAACGTCACGGTGGAAGGTAAGTGGAGGAAGGTCGTTGTATTAGGGACGGATCCTGCAAGGGGGGGGAAGGGGTGCCCTCGGCTAATATTCGGGGACTTCCCATTCCCGTGGAATATTGGAGGAACCGTTTCCCTGTTACGCTCTTAATTGCCCGTTGCCACGTTCCTGGTGGAGTGGTGGGTTATCCCTCTGAGGTCTGGCCTGTGGCTACTCTTGGGAACACGTTGCCAGGTGGTAGCCAATTTGTGCAACTGCTGGGTTGGCCACTTGGGGGCGCTCTTGGCATGTCATTAAGCACGGCATGGAAACTAGGGCAGTAGGCGTTGTGTGTGTGTGTTTGGACTACAACTCCCAGAATTCCCCAGGCAGCATGATGGAAATGCCCCAGGGAATTCTGGGAGTTATAATTTTTATTTTTTTTAAAATGATCTGTGCACCTCTGCGCACAAATGGCTATGGGGGCTGCTAATGAAGAAGACACCGAATGTAAAGCTCAGGATTCACCCCATCCTTGATGGGGTGTGTGTGCATTTTGGACTCCATTTCCCAGAATTCTTCAGGGGTTCCCCAGGCAGAATGCTGGGACTTTCTGCCTCAGGTGCTTTTATGCAACAGCATGTCACTTCTCTGGAAGAGACACTTAACCCTTCAGGCTGTCTCAGGTCTACTTCCTGATTTTTTTTAAAAGGAAAATATATTTTTTGGGAGGCTCAGGTCTTTGCAGGAGCTGTAGTTTCACTGCCCATCAAGCTCTGTGGGAAGCGCTCCTGCGGAGCGCTACCTCTCCCACAAAGGGCTAGGCCTAGCAGGAAGTACCAGGGCAGCTTCCTGTGTGGACAGGAAGTAGGCCTAGGACCACCTGCAGGCCTTTTCCAGGTGAGCTACCTGTAGGAGCGTGGAGGCAGGTGAAGCACCCCAAATTGGAACGCTGATTTTCTCCTATTTCATCCTCCTCAGTGAGAATGAAAACAATTCAGAACTCCCCCACCCCTGCTAAAGTGCGACTATGAGGGGTCTTTGTGGATTTATCTTTTTTCATTTTGTCATCACTTCTTTGGCCGGAAAAAATGAAATGAAACCAAAGCAGTGTTTCTTGGTGGTGGTGGGGGGGGAAAAAACTATGTTTTGTACAATGACACTGGGCCGGGACTTGCCATGCGCACAGGGAAGCAGGCGCAACAATGTAAAGAGACTTCGTTGCTTGTTGAGTCTCTCAAATCGCCCTTGTGTTTTGCACACCACCCATGTGCGTTTTGCAGGAAAACACGGGGCTTCTTAATGCACGTGACAAGTTTTGTTCCCGTGGCTGGCGATGGAAAAAAAAAGGTGCTAGCCTTTTGGCTCTCGTGCAGGAAGAAAAGAATCTCGCAGCACAGCAAGGTTTTGGAGCGCGGCGTTCTGTCTCTCGTGCGCTCTCTGCTCTGACTGGAACTTGTTGGCTTGCTCGGTTGGGCACAAGTAAATTGATGAGTGTTTTCAACAACGATCAGTTTTGGGCGTAGAGAAACGAGACGGTGGTTTGGGCCAGAGCTAAGAATAGACAAGCCCAGACACCACCACCACCCCCAGTCATTTGGTTTCGGGGGTTATTGCATGGCGAAGTTTTGAGTTAGTCTCCTCTCCCCGTCACAAATTTCCCAGTGGGGCTCATTCCAGCTCCGCTTTGCTCCACCCGGCCGGAGAAGGCCGTTGGGAGACTGCCAGGAAGGCCGAGGGTTTCCTTGGCCGGACATCACAGCAGAGGCATCTTTTCCCTTCATCCTGCTTGGTCAGAGGTGTGCAGGAGGAGGAGCGTTTCTTGTGGGGTCCTGGCAGTCAGGTAGCCCACTCCAACGGAAAGCTGCCTACCTCCCCAGGCATCCAGAGTGAGGAGAGAAGGTGTAGGGCGAGAAGGAGGGTGGAGGGGGAAAAAATCCACTGAGTCACCCGTGTTGAAGGGAATTCCACCTCCCCCCCCAGTTGGGTTTTGTGCATGGCATTGGGTGTGTGTGTGTGTGTGTGCATATCTGAGAAAGCATTGTTTCGTTCTGGGACTTGAGCTGGCCCTTCTCCCTGAAGCTGTCTTGCTCCCTAAGCCCCCTGGCTTGAGATCCTGTTGCAATCATAGCTTAGAAAAATGCCTTATTTATCCAGCCGTTCATCCCAGGTAACCCCATGTGCAGATTTGGACGGCAACGCCTAGAATTTCCCAGGCAGCTACTGTGATAGTCCAAAAAGTGCAAATCGGCGCGTCTCTTGTTCCCAAGCGGCGACGTGCACCCGCTCTTTCGCTCCCCGAGGTGCCCCGCTTGGCTGGGTGTTCACAGAGTACCCCCCCTTCCCCTGTGCTTGGCCCAAGCAGGACAGATGGCGGGGGCCCACACCCGCCTGGAATTCCACAACATCGAGACAGGCATCATGACGGAGCGCCGGTTCATCTCGGTGGTGCCTTCCAACTTCATCGGCCACTTGAGCAGCTTGGTCTTCAACGGGTTGCCCTACATGGACCTCTGCAAGAACGGGGACATCAGCTACTGCGAGCTCAACGCCCGCTTCGGCCTGCGCAACATCATCGCCGACCCCGTCACCTTCAAGAGCAAAGCCAGCTACCTGGCGCTGGCCACGCTCCAAGCCTACGCCTCGATGCACCTCTTCTTCCAGTTCAAGACCACGGCCACGGACGGGCTCATCCTCTTCAACAGCGGCAACGGGAACGACTTCATCGTGGTGGAGCTCGTCAAGGGGTGAGTCGTGCCGGTCGGCCGGCGCCCACTGGGACTGGTGGGATAGTGGCCGTAGGGGTGGGCAGGGGAGGTCGGGGCAAAAATGGCAGTTTGTTAAGAGGCTGTTAAGAGAGATGGGCTGGGTTGAGCACAAGTTGGCTGTTGGGCTCTTAGGGTGACCCCAGCAGACCCCCCTTCCAGTGGGATGATGCCTCCGGACAGCAGGCCGCCCTCGCCTCTGGGGAGCCCTGCGGTCCACACAATCATCATCCACCTGGACATCTCCGTTGGAAGACCCAATCTGCGACTCAATTCCCAGCTCGATCTTCAAATAGCGTCCATCCTTCTTCCCTTGTGGCACACCAAGCTGGTACTTTTAGCTGGAGCATCCGCTCTGGGGGGGTTTCATCAACAGAAGCAGAAGCTTCCCTGTTCCCTCTGAATTCGGCTGCAGTCCTCACCATCCTGTGCAGGGGAAAAGAAATCTATTTCCCCAGCAGAAATATACTATTGTGAGGGATTTAGGTTGTGCTGCACAATGTTTGGAGTTCTCTTGGTTGGAAATGGGCCATGGAGGGCAGTTAGCTCTAGTCTTGCGGTTAATCCGCAGAAGCCTCTGGGCTGCAAGGTCAGAAAGACCAGCTGTCGTAAGATCGAATCCACGCGACGGAGGGAGCCCCCGTCGCTTGTCCCAGCTCCTGCCAACCTAGCCGTTCGAAAGCATATAAAAAGGCGAGTCGATAAATAGGGACCACCTCAGTGGGAAGGTCACGGTGTTCCGTGTCTAGTCGCGCTGGCCACGTGACCACGGAAACGGTCTTCGGACAAAGGCTGGCTCTACGTCCTGGAGACGGGGATGAGCACCGTGCCCTAGAGTCGGACGCGACTGGACTAAATGTCAAGGGGAACCTTTACCTAAAGGGATTGTAGTGAGGAGCATCTCTATTTTAAAAAATTACTAAATTTCTGAGGACAGCATGTTGGTTTTAGAGACGGGAGGTTGACCCAGAAACTTTCTGTTGTTCCGGTTGTAACGCAACATCATTTGGGGCTGACTTGGCCTTTAAATGGACAATTAAGAGCTGTCCTTCTCCCTTTGATGAAAATGGATGGGATACTGTAGGCTTGTTGACAGGAACATGGTGGTTGATGTGGATCAATCCAGGGGCCCGCCTTTTTCGATTCTCTTTTGGAGAGGGCGGCTGTGGGGTCTGTTGGGATGCGCACCTATGCCTCGCTCAGGCTTAAGGCGACTGTCTCTGGTGCCCATGTAGGAGAGGTTTGTAGCTGGATGGCAAAAGCCCCAAATTCAGCCCCTGACACCTCCCTTTGAAAGGAGGGGAAGACCTCGCTTTTCTTGATACTCCAGAGACCTGCCATGATCCCGCATAGAATAGGCGTGTTCATAGTCTAACCGGATCGAGTTCAATTTCCTGCTAGAGAGAGTCCATAGCTCAGTGGTAGAGCTTCAACTTTGCATGCTTAGGGTCCTGGATTCAAGTCCTGCCATCTGCATGCAGTGCTGGGGGACTCCCTCTGAATGCTCTGAGAGCTGCTGATGGGTATGGATGTTCCTGAGCTAGCTGGACCAACGCCCTGGGGCCAGGATAAGGCAATTTCTCAGATTGATTGTTGTGGGTTTTTCGGGCTCTTTGGCCGTGTTCTGAAGGTTGTTCTCACTAATATTTCACCAGTCTTTGTGGCCGGCATCTTCAGAGGACAGCACTCTGTGCTCTGAAGATGCCCATGGCCACAGAGACTGGCGAAGCATTAGGAAGAACATCCTTCAGAACATGGCCAAAGAGCACGAAACCCCACAACAACCATTAGATCCTGGCCATGAAAGCCTTTGCGAATATAATTTCTCATATTCCTCTTCAAATCGACCTTGTATTAAAAACCATAAGAAGCAGGAAGTGGCTTTTTAGGGGAGGTTGATAGCTGTGTGGGGGAGCACCTGCTCTCTGTGCATAAAGCATCATGCTCAGTTTTTTTGGCCGTTTGCAAAAGTAGGGTGGATAGATGAAGAAGAGTCTTCTCCTCCTGCGACCCTGGACAGCGGCTGCCAGTCAGAGCAGGTAAAGCTGGGTCAGATGGGCCGAAGACGGCTTTGGTGCTCCACCAGTGTCCTAGTTCTCTTGAGCCCGCCGGCAGATGCCAGAAATGGCTCTGTTGCCCACCCAACACATTTTACGCCTAATAATAGTTTCCTTCTCATGCTTCGCCTCTCTTGATCATCCCGGCTTCCCACCGAAGAGCCCCAGGACTCTTGTTCTGTGAAGGAAGCTTTGGGGACGGCATAACAAAGGGTTCTCCGTGCCCTCAGAACCGATCAGGAGAGGGCTCGGGTGGGAGGCAAGCAGCCGCCTCAAAGGGAGACCGTGCTGGCAAAGCTCCCTTCCGGCCACTGTGTGAACCGCTCAGATCTCTTGAAAGACCCAGCACGTGCCTTGCAGATGAAGGGCAGAAGGCCCTTTTGTCAGGTGCTATGAAACGTCCCAGAAAGCTGGCCAGCCGTGGATTGACATTGTAGGAGGCACAAAGCGTTCCCATTTCATGTAGGCCAATTCCTGGGATTCATTCAAGGCAGGAGGGGAGCAAAAACGAAGAGGCCCTGGGCTTTCTTGCAATAGAAATCCACGCAGCCCATGGAAGCCTACGACTGCTTAGGAATGACGTTTGGCCAAGTTCCTTGATCTTTGGGACTCTTAAAAAGTTGCAGAATTCCCTAGCCGAGAAGGTTATACAAGCTGAGGAATTCTGGACGGTTTTAGTCCAAAGAAAGGAAGCTGTCGCAGCAGAAAAAGGGGAGATAGGAGAGCCCTTTTCAGAGACTTGGAAGGTAGTCCTAAGGAGGAGGGGAAAGATCCGTTCTCAATCCTCCCACAATGGGCTCAAGCTAGAGGAAGCCAGATTTAGGCTGAAGATCGGGAAAAACATCCTAACTGTTAGAGCAGTACGACAACGGAACTGAGGGCCTCGACAGGTGGTGAGCACTCCAACGCTGGAGGCCTTCAAGAGAGAAAGGGACCACCCTCTGTCAGACCTGTTATGATTGGGATTCCTGTCTCGAGCAGGGGGGTTGGGTTCGATGGCCTTCTAGACTCTCTTTCGACTCCATGATTCTAGGATTTACCCAAGTTTTGTTCAGCTCAAGAAACCTTTTTGAACTTCCTTATTTAAAATCCAGTAGCTTGGAAAGAGAGCCAGCTCATTGTCCTGAACATACCATAGGAAAGCCCCCCTCCCCACCTGCTTTGTCCGCCTCTGTGACCCTCACCCTGGCTTTGCTTCCTGTAGATGGCTGTTTTTCATCCCTCTGCTCTTGCAAACTCAAGCCCGTGGTTCCTTTAGTCCGTCCGTCTGTCCTGTATTGGGTCTCCCCTCTTTTCCTGCTGCCTTTGACATTACAAAACGTAAAAACGATCAGCATAGCTTAGATACCAGAAAAAAACTAGGTGCTGGAAACCTGGAAACTCTGTACCAAGTTCTACAGAATAGAAAATTATGTAAAGAAAGCTTTACACATATACAGTGGTGCCTCACGGTGCCTCGTTTAACGAGCGCACCATTTAACAATGAATCCGCATAGCGATCTATCTTTTTAGATCGCTAATGCAATCGCATTGCGATGTTTGCAATAGGGAAAACATCGCATTGCGATGTTTTTTTAAACAGCTGATCGGCGGTTCCAAAATGGCCACCGAGTGCCCAAAATGGCCGCTGCAAGTGTTTTCGTGCCCTGCCCTCGCTTACCGAAGGCGCGAAAATGGCGGCGCTATGGAGGAACTTCGCTGAACGGTGAGTTTGGGAGCCATAGGAACACATTAAACTAAGCTTAATGCGTTCCTATGGCTGTTTCCGTTCCGTTTAGCAATGTTCCTGCATAGCAACGATTAATCCGGAATGGATTAACGTCGCTATGCGAGGCGCCACTGTATTATGCTCTTGCAGGGTTTGGACGTGCCTTGTATTGCCTAAAGCATTTGCATTTTCGTTTGTTTGCTTGAAATAAAAACCCACAGGACAGCAAAGGGGGAAGCCCTTGGTTCTTTTTAAAATAGAGTATCAGAATTCTCTGTCACTTTAGCTCAAGTTCTGAGCCAAGTATATTAGATTCTGAAGTAGGACAGCCTCAGCTTCAACGTTTATGCCTCCTGGCTTGGTTCTTTTTAAAATAGAGTATCAGAAGTCTCTGTCACTTTAGCTCAAGTTCTGAGCCAAGTATATTAGATTCTGAAGTAGGACAGCCTCAGCTTCAATGTTTTTGCCTCCAGTTC